ACCAAAAACCCCCCACCCACCCACCCCCCACCACACAAAAACAACCCCCCAACACCCCCACCCACAACCCCACAACCACACCACCACCCCCCCACACAACCCACAAACAACACCCCCCCCCCACCACCCATATCCCCACCCAACCACCACACCCACACACCCCCCCCCCACACCCCCAAAACACACCCCCCCCAAACAACCCACAACCCCAAACCCACCAAATACCACCCCCCCAAACCACCCCCACCATCACCCCTCCCAACCACAACCAACCAAACAACAACCCCCCAAAACAAACACACACCACATACAAAAAACCCCAAAAACCAACCCCCCAGACCCAAAAACCAACAAAACCCACCAACACCCCACCCCCAACCCCACAACAAAACAACCAACCACCCCCCCCCCCACCCAACCAAAAACCACCACAACCAAAAACACCCAACCCACCCCCAACAACCCCAAAACACCCCCCCCATAAACCACCAACACACCCCACAACCCACACCCAACAAACCCCGCCCACCGACCCCACCAACAACCCAACCACACCCAAAACCCAACCACCAAAAACCAAACACCACCCCCACCCCCCCACACCCCAACCCCACAACCCCAACCCAACCACCACAACAAACACACCACACACCCACACCACAACACCAACCAAAACAAACCACACACACAACCCCCACAACCCACAAACCCCACCCAAACCAACCCACAAACCCCCCCCCACCCCACAACCCACCCCAACAGACACACACCACCACCCACACAAACCACACAACCCCCCCAAAAACCACCCAAACACAACACCCCCCACCCACCCACCCCCCCACAAAACACCCACACCCACACCACCCAACCCAACACCCACCCACCCCACACCCAACAACACCCCAACAAACACACCCACCCTCCCCACACCAACACACCCCACCCACAACCCCCCCCCACACCAAACCCACACCAACCCACTTTTTTGGGCGGTGTAATTCCTATTATACGTCACACCGAGATATTTGGCTACTCGCCAACACGTCTGAAGTTTTAATGTACTTATATCAGACAAAGTCAGAGTATCAATTAATTGTTTCACTTTGGCATACATCACGAAAATAAATGTACTACGAGAGAGTAATTATGGGAAACTATAATCCTAATAGGAATTTTAGTGTTGGTTATCTTAGGACTAGAGCTCATAAACAGTATTTCCATCTCCTTGGATCAAGAGACTCAGTCAAGTACATACATCCACCTGGTATGTTGTACAAGACTAAACTCAAAGTCTTCAGATTAGGAATGTACTCAAAGTGTTTGATCATAGAGTTACTAGTACAGTGGACCCTCGACCAGCAATGGCATCGATTAACGATAAATCCGACTAGCGATACATTTTATCGCAAAAATTTTGCCTCGATTAGCGCTAAAAAACTCGACCAACGCTATAAAACTTGACCAACGCTATTCCTTCCGTCTGAGACGCGTCCACTTCTGGCCAGTGTTTACAAGCCAGCCAACCACCGCGGTCGCTTCCAAGCATACAATCGGAACATTTCATATTATCACAGCCTTTTTAGTGATTGCACCTGCAAAAATAAGTCACCATGGGCCCCAAGAAAGCTTCTAGTGCCAACCCTACAGCAAAAGGGTGAGAATTACTATGGATATGAAGAAAGAGATCATTGCTAAGTATGAAAGTGGAGTGCATGTCTCCGAGCTGGCCAGGCTGTACACAAAACCCCAATCAAGCATCGCTACTATTGTGGCCAAGAAAACGGCAATCAAGGAAGCTGTTCTTGCCAAAGGTGCAACTATGTTTTCGAAACTGAGATCGCAAGTGATAGAAGATGTTGAGAGACTGTTATTGGTATGGATAAACGAAAAACAGATAGCAGGAGATAGCATCTCTCAAGCGATCATATGTGAAAAGGCTAGGAAGTTGCATGACGATTTAATTAGAAAAATGCCAGCAACTAGTGGTGATGTGAGTGAATTTAAGGCTAGCAAAGGTTGGTTTGAGAGATATAAAAATCGTAGTGGCATACATAGTGTGATAAGGCATGGTGAGGCTGCCAGTTTGGACCAAAAAGCAGCTGAAAAATATGTGCAGGAATTCAAGGAGTACATAGACAGTGAAGGACTGAAACCTGAACAAGTGTTTAATGGTGACACTGACAATGTTGTGAAACACGTTAGGAATGTCATAAAGGAACGGGAGGTACAGGCCTCTATGGGCAGATATGTTGTGCGACAGAGGTCCCGTGACTCTCAAACTGGTCCTAGTGGCATTAAAAGAAGGGAAGTAACCCCCAAAAAGGACTTGCCACCTCAAGTCCTAATGGAAGGGGATTCCCCTTCTAAACACTAAGACCATCAACACACACTCCCTCTTCCCATCCCATCAGTCATCACCAGATCTTCAATAAAGGTAAGTGTCATGTAACTGTGCATGTCTTCTTCAGTTTGTGTGTATTAAAATTAATATTTCATGTGTTAAAATTTTTTTTTTTCAATACTTTTGGGTGTCTTGCACGGATTAATTTGATTTCCATTATTTCTTATGGGGAAAATTAACTTGACTAACGATGAGCTCTCAGGAACAGATTAATAGCGTTAGTCGAGGGTCCACTGTATGTCAAACTGGACAATCTCTCCAACACCTTGGATCAAGAGCATCCCAGACGGGCCCCCATTTGTTACAAAAAATGCGATTCTAAAAAGCTTAGAGATCTCCAGTGAATACTAGAAAGGACTGCCCTTCTAGCATCCAGCCTGTTACTGGGTTTTTGTAACAATTAGTCAGTATCCTTGTCCAGTTATCCATTAGAATTCAGTATGATTCAACAGTGCTTTAGGATTACAACTGGTAGGCTACTAACTAGAGAAATTAAAATTTAATAAATTTATTAATTAAGTTGTCTAGGCGTATATCAAATTAAATTAATCACAGTAATCAACAAAATAAGAATAATCACTTCTCTCATGTACAGTATTATTGTGCTGAAAGCACATATCACATTTATAAGTCTTAAGTACTGTCTGGTACATTAACATTTAATACAATATACAAATAAGTACAAGTAAGTTTGTGTGTAAGTGCTCTAAGTAATTCGCTATGTCTCAAGACTCGACTAGACTTAAACAAGTGACTGACAAAGTCCTCTCATAAGCTAACTTCTTGACCAACTGGCAGTCAGAACAGTCTGCTTGAACAATAAAAAGAATGCTAAGCCCAATAGCAATATAACAAGCAACTGCGACACAGAATCAGGAACACGGAGATAATATAACGACACTAAGTAGGGACCATCAGCAGATCCTCCACAAAACTCCCATACTCCCATAAGAAAACTTCCATAAGAAAATCCCCGACTGTGACAATACACAGATACCAGTACAAGTTAGGTCAGAAGCTACAGCTCAGGACCTGAGTTGCTCAGAGTGTCTATGCGACACACAACCTCAGTACAACATCGAAAATCACTAAGCCTATACAATGTTCTGTGAACAGAGTTCTACAGAACTAACAAGACAGCTACAGAGGCGATCTTCCAGCAAGGGCCAATAAGGGAGAATTAGGCACTTCTTGTCAAGAATATGTCCAACCACCAAGAGAGTCTAGACCAGACTGAATACTTCAGGCGAGGTGAGGGCACCCCCCCTCGATCACGTGATAGCTCCGTGGACAGCTGCAGCTCAGCAACAACGAGAAGCCGGCAGAGTAACGAGCAAAGAGCGATAACTACAGTAGTTAGACAATCAAGACTTGAACTGAGCACATAATAATATGTTACATCATACCTAACAAAATTTAACTAAGTCAAATAATAATATAAGCAATATATTCACGATTTAGCTATTATCGCAAATATAAGCAATATAAAATTATATGAAAAGGTAATATACATGTAATATATATACATAATATACATTGCAACCCATTCAGGGGTTGCAACACGATGGCATCCTCCAGGGTAGACATGAGTGGTAACAGTGTCCTTGGTGCTTTACTTGAAGTTTTTTCTCCTTTGTTTCTCTCCCATGTAAGCACTAGCAAAGTTGATGTGAAGGTGCAGCTACTGTAAGTTGGTGGTAAATGTTGCCTAGCTGGTTGTACGTCTGGCAGCAGGGATGATGTTTGGTATGCCAGGCAGCCCTCTTTTAATTGAATTCGGTCAGCTTGTTGACATCGTCAGTTGTCTTGGGTCATTATAAGTTCCACATATAATCATGCAGCAGTCCTTACAATTAGGCCATCATTGGAGGTGAATGAGTTTCAGATGGACCAGACCAAGAAGTGGATGGTTTTGGGTTACCAGGGTTTTCAGCAATATTTCTGGTATCCTGAGTGTCACTTTCAATCACTAAATGTTTAAACCCAAAGAACTCATCATCAATTCATATTCTTTGTTGTTAAAGTTATCACTGAGAAAAGAAGACATTCAGTTCTCCTGGGTAGTGAGTCCTTTCCAACCATGCAGCATGGTGAGAGTGTACTAAACATGGCGAATTCACAGTGCGCTGCATGGACCCTGATTTTTTTTGTATACTGTGCACACTGACCACACATACCAGTTCTCTTATACATAGGCCTCTTGCACTAGATTTAAAGTCACTAGAATTTAGGCATAGATCTGCATCAGAGACCCTAGCATCAATGACATAGTATTATGCGACAGCCACTGAAAAGGTTAAAACCCATGCTTCACACACACATATAAGAGTGTTGGTACCACTTTATTCTGATACAGTTCCCTTTTAAGCCTCCATGGATAACATTCTTTGTCCCCACAGATGCTTCAATGCACCACCCACCTTTTTTCCCTCATCAGCTCTGTGGTTCACTTCATCTTTCATAGACCTGTCAACCAGTAAGTCCTCTCCCAGGTATCTGAATGCATCCACCTCCTCCATACTCCCCTTCCCCATTCCAATCTGATATCAGTATTTAATTATCTAAATTTTTTGTTTCTCTCATCACATTGTTCTTAACTATGTTCACTTATATGAGAGATTGAAGACAATATTGCTGCAGGGAGCACCGTGTGGTAGTGCGGTACATCGGTCGAGGTTCTCCACCCTTTGGGCCCTTTGAGGATGTGGATGAAACAATAGTGGATAATGGAACGCCTCCCCTAGATGCTGCCATCAATGCTGCCACATTAGATTTCTCTGAACGGGCCTTAAAATCTATTGTAGTATTTGATTGTGATCACCCTCGCTGTGCAGTCTCGGTAAGCAACATATTCAGTGACTTATGTGCAAAAAGATACACTACAGTACATTTATTAAAACTGTAACTACTAACTCAGAGAACTATTCTGTAAAAAAAAAAAAAAAAAAAAAAAAAGACTGAAGTTTGAAAGCTTACAACTTTGTTGACAAGCATTATGTGCAGATTTAATAAGAGTAGACAAATGTATGAATGAGAATTGGTGGGTGTGAATAGGCCATACCTAGCATTAGTGAGTAAGCTTACTATGGTGTTGCTTCTTGTTATTAGGTTGCCAACAATTTTTTTTTTTTTAGTGTAAAGTTAGTTATGTTAGAAATAGAGAAGAAGTTATGATAGGTTTTTTTTATTAATTAAATATTTAAATATTTTAATTATGTTATATGAATGCAGCTTGAATGCATACTTGAAATTTAACACAATGAATAGTAATTTGTACAGTGGACCCCCGGTTCGTGATGCTATCGGTATCCAATAAATCCGGTAACCGATGCATTATATCGCAGAAAATTTGCCTCACTTCCCAATACAAAACCCGGTATGCGATGTGGTTCGTACGAGACGTGTCCATGTGTGGCCTGAACTGCCCCGTGTGTGCCAGTGTTTACAAGCCAGCCAGTGTGTGTGCATCTAAGGATACATTTCATATTATCCATATTATCACTGTTTTTGGTGCCTGTTTTTGCAAAATAAGTCACCATGGGCCCCAAGAAAGCTCCTAGTGCCAACCCTTCGAGACCAAGGGTGCTATTGACTGTTGAAATGAAGAAAGAGATAATTGCAAAGTATGAAAGTGGAGTGCATGTGTCGGAGCTGGTCAGGTTGTATAGTGAACCCCAATCAACCATCTCTACTATAGTGAGCAAGAAAACGGCAATCAAGGAAGCTTTTCTTGCAAAAGGTGCAACCGTGATTACGAAACAGCGGCCGCAAGCGTTAGAAAATGTTGAGAGACTGTTATTGGTGTGGATAAATGAAAAACAGATAGCAGGAGATAGCATCTCTCAAGCAATCATTTGTGAAAAGGCTAGGCAGTTGCATAACAATTTGGTAAAAAATTGCCTGCAACTAGTAGTGATGTGAGTGAATTTAAGGCCAGCAAAGGTTGGTTTAAAAGATTTAAGAATCGTAGTGGTATGCATAGTGTGATTAGGCATGGCGAGGCTGCCAGTTATGTTGTGCGACAAAAGTCCAGTGACTCTCAACCTGGTCCTAGTGGCACTAAAAGAAGAAGGGAAGTAACCCCGGAAAAGGACTTGCTACCTCAAGTCCTAATGGAGGGGGATTCCCCTTCTAAATGCTAACACCATCCACACTCTCCCCTCCTCCCATCCCATCAATCATCACCAGATCTTCATTAAAGGTAAGTGTTAATTATTCTTTTGTTATTTATTGTTATTGTTGTTATTGTAATTACTATTCTATTGCATTAAACTTAATATTTCATGTGGTAAAAGTTTTTTTTTTTATACTTTTGGGTGTCTTGCACGATTTAATTTGATTTACATTATTTCTTATGGGGAAAATTGATTCACTTTCCGATATTTTTGGTTTACGATGAGCTCTCAGGAACGGATTAGTATCGCGAACCGGGGGTCCACTGTATTTGTCTGTAACATATGTGCATTATTATTATAATCAAAAAGAAGCGCTAAGCCACAAGGACTATACATATGTGCACATCTTGTACAATTATTGCTATTTTAATTACATTCTGTATACAGCTATGGCTATGCTTGGAGCCAACAATGTGTGTTCAGTTTATGCAATACAGTACAGGTATGTGGAGGCAGAATAATGTAGAGTTTGTGTGATACAGATAAATGGAGACAACGATGTATGTAGAATTCGTTTAATACAGACACATGGAGACAATAATGTATGTAGAGTTTGTGTAATACAGGTACATGGAGACAATAATATATGTAGTTAGTACAGTATATGAGGTGATGTAGGGGTTTCCTGATGATCATATTACTCTCTCTCTCAGATATCAACACCAAAAATAGTGAAGCTGCGGGAGACACTGCTTACCCAGGGTATTCAACTACATGTGGTCACTATGGCTGCCCTTACCATCACCAGTCCTCACAGCCTTAGCAAGAAAGCCACACGACAGCTCATAGGTACTGTACTTCAGTGAACTATTCTATAAGTGCCCACTGGGTTTGCAAAGCATAAGGAAAAGTGCTCTGGAGAGCACTTTCAGGAACAAAAAAATAATATACACAAAGAACACATAAGAACACTAAAGTAAAATTAAGTAGCAAAAATATTAAGAACTACCATAGTCTGAACAAAGCATACAGCACAAATAAATATTATGACTTTGGTTAAAATAATGAATAAGTATTTATTATTATTATTATAATCAAAAAGAAGCGCTAAGCCACAAGGACTATACAGCGCTGCAGGGCAGGAAGGAAGCGAGGGCATCAGGTGGCAAAAGGGAGATGGATGAGTAATAGGTTATGGATAACAGCGGGGTAGTGGATGGTGAAAGGGTAAAGGGCAGCAAGAGACTGAACTAGAAAGGGCTGAGGGGAGTGCGAAAAGTATCATCAGAGTTTGTGGAGTAAATCAGTCGTTGTCAAGAAATTTCAATGAGAGAGTCGGGGTTTTTAAAGGGGGGTATCAGGCAAAAAGGGGAAAGGGAAAAGAGAGAGTAGTAAAAGAAACGACGTTGGAGGTTAAATTCTGCGGCTCGTTGTTTAGAGAGGGGCATTTTTAAAACAAAATTTGTGGAAATTCGATATTTGGAAATTGACATTGCCCCAGAGAGGAACGGGGTGCCTCCCCATGAGATCCCATGGTAAACGAGTGGGCCAAGCGAAGGCGGGGGGGAGGGGGTGGTCCCCCAACCCGGCACTGATGCCCAAGAAGCCCGGCCAGAAAATTTGCTGGTTTAAAAAAAAGGGTTTTGGGTTAAACCCCCCCCAGAGTTGCCCAAGTTTTTTGCCAACGGTGTGCGAAGGGGGGTTTAGTTATTGCTTTAAAAAATAGCCCAAAAAGGGAAACCCCCTCGATGGGGGAAATTTGGGGTAGGTCTGCACTGCTGACCCCGCCCCGTTTTGGGCCTGTTCATTCCCCTGTATGTCGACATGACCAGGGACCCAACAAAAAACAATATCTTTATGTTTGGTAGAGATACGGCGTAGCCAAATTGGATACGGAAAAACTAGGGATGAGATGTATCAAATTTTCGTATAGCCTGTAGAGCACTAAGGGAGTCTGAGACTACTACAAATGATGACACAGGCATAGATGCGATACGAATAAGTGCTGCAAGAATGGCATACATTCAGCAGTAAAAATGTAGCTAAAGATAGTAAATGCCCCCGCACGACCTGTCCGGAAACACTGCTGCGAATCCGACACCGTCTGAAGACTTAACCCATCTGTGTACACAGCGGTGGCATGAGAATGGGAGTGGAAGTGATAAAGAAAAAGAGAGCGGGAAGCCACCGTAGGCAGTTGAGCTTCGAGCAAGGGAGTGAGAAAGAACAGACCCGAACAGCTGGAACTTCCCGGGGGGTAGGGAAAAGTGAGATGTTTACATGAACATATAAAGGGTGGTAACTGAAGGGAAAGACAAGAGTGAATGTAGGCGAAGAGAAAAGGGACGGAGCAAACGGGGGCGGCGAACGAATAAAGAATGTCTCTAATATCGGTGACCATTCTATAAAGGGAAAGGGATTGTGTAGATCGTGAGAGTGTACATAGTAGCGAAGGCAATGGGCATCACGGGGGATCAGACAAGGATGGAACATTTGCTTCTGTATAGAGGCTCTCAACAGGGGAAGAGCGAAAAAACACCAAGGCACAAACGTAAGCCTTTGGGGATGGGTAGAGTTAAGGCTAGAGAGAGTAGCAGGAGAGGCCGCGGAATAAATCTGGTCACCATAATCGAGTTTCGATAAAACGAGGGCCTGAATGTAGGCGAAGCAGAGTTCGACGATCGGCTCCCATGAAAGATGAGCAAGGGTTTAAGAAGGTTTAGCCGGCTGTGACAAGTTGTCTTCAGAGAGGTTATGTGAGGTTTCCAGGATAACCGACGGTCAAAGAGAAGGCCTAAAAACCTGACGTATCACGTTCGGGGATACGGGAGCCATAGAGATACAAAGGGATGATCGGAGATAAAAGAGCGTCTAGTGAAAGTAATTTGGTGGTTTTGGTACTTGAAAATTTAAACCCATGCGTGGTGGCCCAAGTGGAAACACGGTCGACCGCATGCTGGAGAGAAACTGCAATAAGGTGACAGTCAGCGCCCTGCACAAGCAATAGCGAAGTCATCAACATAGAGTGATGACCAAATATTGGGTGGGAAAAACAGAGGCCAAATCATTTATGCGAGGAGAAACAGTGTTGTGCTTAGAACACATCCCTGAGGGACCCCCTTCAGCTTGGACGAAAGTCCGGGAAAGAACATTATTTACTCGAACACGGAAAAAGTCTGTCAGTTAAAAGTTCTTAAGGAAGGATGGTGATTGCCTCGGAGGCCTAAGGAATGGGCCTGGCCAAAATATTATACCTCCCAAATTGTGTCATATGCCTTCTCAAAGGGCAAAAAATATGGAATAACTGAGTGATTATTTTGCAAAGGCATTACGAACATACGTATCCAAGCGTTAGTAAGGGATCTTTTGGTAGAACGACCCTTACGAAAGCCATATTGACTTTGCGGAGAGACTGTTGTGAGTCTCTAAATACCACATAAACGTCGATTTACGAGGGGTTCCATCACTTTGCAAAAATGCACTAGTAAGAGTGATTTGGGGGGATAGTGGGAGGCATATGTCCCGAGTACCCGGGTTTGCGGAAAGGGAGAAAAAATGAGT